AATCGTTCTCATGAAAGAACGCTGTTTCTCGGTAACGAGAATATGGGCCCAAGACAGAGATTTCCTAAAGAAGTTTTCATTTACAAACCAAATTGCAAAATAGCAAAGTTATTGTCAGTCGTTTTTAATTTGACACTTTCCGTATGAGGAGCGAGGGGGTGAAGCATATGGCAAACACAGGTGTCACGTCAGGTGACCATTGGCGTTCTAATGTAGGGTGCCACCAGCTCACATTCCTTCTAGTGCCGGTACTTTTGGTCTCATTTGACAGCCGTTAAAAATAATCAGAGCTTTGAATGTGCTCTACAACCACATCATACTTATAGACCGTGGCCCATGCAAAACTTTGACAACCTATCAAATTCGTTAATCGAGAGCAAAAGTATCGGCCCCTAGAGTATCAGATTAAAATCGACAGACTTTAGCTGACGTCACATACATAACCTCACTTTCGATGAGGTAACAAGTTCATTTGAGAAATATCGTTCGTTTGTCCCATTGAGATAGGTTTGTCTCAATGATATGTTTGTCTCCCTCTCGGAAGAGACTTTATCTCTAAAAGTGACGTCATGTGATCTGTGAAAAAATAGCTAACGCCTGTGTGTAAAAATGTATAAATAGTCCTTCAAATACTTTGTTTGTCATTGGTTTCTCCAAGGTTTGTGCCCCCCCCCCCCAGGTTGTTTGAGAAAGGTAAGTTGCCTGATAACTTTTATGACAGTAATGCAAATCTCCATGAGGCACCTTAGATGACGTTATCAAGTTCCCTCCTACCAGACCAGAAGGTCATAGATTGTCTAGTCATAGGTAACTCGATGACGCATCCTGGGGTGCCTTGCAGATATTTGTATTAAATTGATTGTAGAGGCATCCCAGCTGACGTCATAAAGTTATCAGGCAATCTACCTCTTTCAAACAACCTCGTTATCAGACAAACTGTTAACTTTAGGAACCTTGGTCCTCCCCTCTCCTACCTCAATGGTCCTTTTTCTTCACAAATCACATTATGTCACTTTTGAGAGGGAGAGAAATATATCATTGGGACAAACCTATCTCAATAGGACAAACGAACCTGCTACCCCATCAAAAGTAAGGTTATGTGTGCTACGTTGGCTAACTTTGCAGGCGCTAGTTGACGTCTGTGTTTATCATGAGTTTATTTGGAATATTTTCAAGCTAATTACAGTTTACCAATTCAAAGGAATAATGAACTTCTGCTCCGGACGCCATTTTGGAATAGTTTTGACAGGTCGTTGGAATGCCTAATTAGGCAATTCGAATCAGCTGATGACTCAAGATGGCGACGTGGTTGTATTGGCCCAATATTTTGGCGCCAAAATATTCGACCAATAGGAATACTTCCGGATAGACGGAAAACGGATGCATGAAAAGTAAGCTTCGCCCATTACCAATTAACCTATTTACTTTAAGAACCTTATTCAAAGCACCCTATAAGGGAGGATCATTGAGGTAGGAGAGGGGACGTCATCAAGTTATCCTTTACCAGACCAAGGTTCCTAAAGCTCATGGGTTGTCCTGGTAATGGATAACTTGATGACGCATTAGGAATGCCTTACGGAAATTTGTATTATGTTGAGTCACTCTAGATGAAGTCATAAAGTTATCAGGCAACCTACCTCTCTCAAAAAACTTCGTTAACAGACAACGTTTTAACCATAGAGAAATAGGTGAGAGTTACCGATTCAGTGGTGCGACACTGGCATCGCGATGACGTCATATCGATACTAGCGCCACTATCCACTACAAGACCAACTTAAATAATATTTGGCAGGCTTTTTGAACTTTAAGATTATAGTATTGTTATTTTTGAAGGTAGAAATCTAGCCCAGCGGTTTTCCGCAGTCGACAGAAAAAAAAATGCGGGAAAACGCTGGCCGCTGGCCTGGAAACAAAAATAAATATACTCAAACAATGTCCATGAGGTAATCTATATATTTTGATCATTGGCAATTAACAAAAAATAATAAAAATTAAATTATACATAAATATAATTTTGTAAATAATAAATTGCAAAAAAATTACAACAAAAAAAAGCAAAAACAGCCAAAACATCTCACTTTTCACTAATAATAGGTTATTATTTAATAATTATTAATATTTATGCATGAACTTAACGATTTTCACATTGTAAATCTTACCAGCATCATGCTTTTCTTATAAACTAATTAATTTTAGGTTCACTTATTCGTGTCAGTTTGTCAGTTTTGAAAAAAGAAAATGTCATTTTATAGGTTAGAAATCGCAATATGTACAGGGTTATTGGTTATAAATGTCACCCCCCTCTATCTTTTTTATTTGACATTTTAGAAAAAAGTGTCCCAAATAAAAAATTTATGGTTGAAATTAATTTTTTTGAAAAACTCACTTTTACATATACAGGGTGATTCAAAAAAGCTGTTCGTGCTCCAAATTTCTTATTTTAAATTGAACATTCTGTATATTATTTAATATTCGGCTTCTACATCAAATTTTGAGCAGATTTCATGTGATATACCCTATACTTAAGTTCAACTGTTTTGGGAATATTGACAGTTGAAAATTGAGTTTTTCGTAAATTTGACAAGCTGTAAAACCTAAACGGTTAAGTTTGGAGCAAAAGCGATTATACATTTTTTTCTAGGATATTCACAAGTCATCATTTGACACCAACTTTGAATTTAACCGAAGATTAAATTTAATTGGAATTTTCAATCATGGATTAAATTAAGTTGATGTCAAATATTGGTGTCAACTGATAGTTTATAAAAATGTAAGACAATAATGTAAGATCGGTTTTGCTCTAAAATTAACCGTTTAGGATTTACAGCCTGTCAAAGTTGCAAAAAAGTCAATTTTCAACTGTCAATATTTCCAAAACAGTTGAATTTAGGTATAGTGTATATCACATGAAATCTGCTCAGAATTTTACGTAGAATCCGAATATCCAATAATATAAAGGGTATTCCATTTAATATAAGAAATTTGGAGCACGACCAGCTTTTTTGAAACACCCTGTATATGCGAAAGTGAGTTTTTCAAAAAATCTAATTTCAACTATAAAACTTTTATTTGGAACACTTTTTTCTAAAATGTCAAATAAAAAAGATAGAGGGGGGTGACATTTATAACCAATAACCCTGTACAATAAATAAAAAATTCTATGTCCCCTCTTCCTTTATTATCACATCTGTTAAAAAGAGACAGATATAAGAATGGGAGGCGATGTCAGAATTGTCAGATAGTTCCAAGCTATACTAGCGCCACCATGTGCTACAAGAAATACGTTGCCACTTGGCGCATATGAATCGGTAACTCTTACCTTGGTTTATTATATTTATCTATGGTTTTAACTTTAGGAACCTTGGTCCCTCCGTACCTCAATGGTGCCATTGGTGCCCCCATAAGGTGATTTGACATTCTCTCAATTCAATTAGGCAATTGACGTATCTCGTAATACCTGGTGTGCGCGCAACTCGTGGGTTGCAGGTGAGCGTCCAATGAAAATCGAGTTTGTTATGGGCTTGCGTCATATTCGTATTCAGGGACGAATTCAGAAATAATCGTTCCTTCTTTCTTTGTAACGTGTAATTCAACAAAGAGCAAACTAATACTTTACGTATTACTTGAACTTATCGCAGTTTCGTTTAGGGTTATGTTAGATTATACTTGACATATTCCTTTGTAATGGCATGTAATATTGACAGTTGAAATGAAGAGGGCGCTTCTGTACTTGGAGTTCTTTAAATTTTGGCACGTGAATAATCGAATGTAATTTTAACCCTCAAAAGTCAAGTTTGATGTGTGGTTTCAAGACAAGCTGACACTGACACTTTTGAAAATATTCTTTAAGGGCCACTGAACGTTTTGGAAGATATTTTAACTTATTCACTGTTTATTGTTCATATGTAGTCATCATTCCTTCTACTTATTAAAACGGTTGAAATTTACCGCCAAAATTCAAAGCACTCCCAGTTCACTCGCGCCCTCTACAAAATTTTGGGGAACTTAACTGGATATTTGCTGCCATTTCATTGTACGCTGTTGCCGGATGAAACATTTATCAAAATAATAATGCCATCGATGTTTACATTCGTTCTGCAACAATACAATCTGGGTACACTGTAGCCACGAGTTGCGCACGCATGTCATTTTTTATTACTTTCCAACTTGTATTTATTACAATTAAGCGGTCTTTTTCTAGCTTTGCGAGACACGTCAATCTCATGACCTGTCAAACCAAATTCAATATGGAAGTTCAGGTCAAACACCGTGTTGTTTACATTTGAATTACAGATAGAAATCATTGAAAAATTATTATTTTGTCACATTCTGGACATTTAGGTTTGACATCCACGTCGCCATCTTGAACTATCAGCTGATTCGAATTGCCTAATTGAAAATGAGGTTATGTGTGTGACGTCAGCTAGTGTCTTATTTGACGTTAAATACATTGTCCATCTGTCATTGTCATTAGAAAATCTTTTTATTTTCCATTATTCCCTATAGATTCCCATAAATCTTTTTGAATAATTCCGTCACAAAACGTTGAGGTCAAGCGCTGATCCGGAAAAGCTCCAGTTTGTTACACTCTTCGCGATGTAGACCAACACCGAGCAATAAATTTCGACGATTTATAGGGTGCCGGAGCTAATTTATTTCTTCCACCTCTGGATTTGGATTTAATAAAACTCTATTTATTTTTTGTAAAGATTCGATGGTGGCGCGTTTATCCACACCCTAACGACTCTAAAATTAAATTCCAAAGACGATTCGAGGACCATCAAGACGAGACAATCCAGACTCCTTGCAGTCACGTTCGCATAATTTGAGTGTGACTTTAACAGCCATTCATGGATCTCCGATTAATTTGATTATGGAAATTTACGCCTGAAGAGAGCTGTTAGTTTAACGAACAAATCTATTCTCGAAAGTTCCATATCCGGTCGTCACTCTTGGACCAAATCAAATTACAAGAAGCCAGATAATCTCTTGTGGCTCACATACATCACTTCTCCCCCTTGTGACGGAATTTGAGCGCAAAGGAGCAAAACACCATAACTGCCTGACAAACTGTCTTTCGGGGCAATAAAATCTGGCAATTTGGTCGGGGTGACGCCAAATTTGTCATTCGTGGCGTAGATGGATTGTCTTTGCTCTTGAAACAAAAATATCCACCGAGAAAACAATATAGAAATGAGAATTTTTACTTTTCCCTAGCCGACTGTAACTGGAAAGTTATTATAGTTATGCCAGACTAGTTTTTGCCAGCAGCGTCGAGATAAATTATTCGAGTTTTCATCTAATCCAATTTCCTCCCCAGTGTTCAGTAACAAAACCGCAGGAAGGAAACAATTAGCTTCAGTTGTCAGCTCTTGTTCAAATGTGACGCTTTTGTTGAAATCATCCAGGAGAGGGCTCATGAAACAAAACCGAGAGAAAGCTGACACTGTGGAAATTCATTTTAAAATGTTCGTTTAACATCCTCAAGTTACAATCAAACATTTTTAACAAAAATTTGTTGTTTTTTTTAATAGTGATAAATGTTTACATAGAGAAAATGATATTCTTAAAATGTTCCAGCTAAGCATTTTATGTTCACTTGAAAATAATGGATACTTAGGGTCAGTTAAGTTAGCCCCCCCCCCATAGAAAATTTCTGGATGAAAATTATCCAACAATTTTGCTCTCATTTTGCTCCACTAATTTCGATTTTTGCTCCATTACAGTGGAGAGACTATGTGGCCTATTAGGTGGGTGGGGCTGAATTAACGCTAGCCCCCCCCAGTGAAAATTCAGAAATTTGATCATGCTCATTTTGTTCTCCGAGTTTTGCTCCATTTTGCTCCACTATCGGCGAGTTTTGCTCCATTACCAGGAGAGACCTACAGAGCTCCCAAGAATCTCTCCCAGTGAAAATTCAGAAATTTGATCATGCTCATTTTGTTCTCCAAGTTTTGCTCCATTTTGCTCCATTTCTGAATTTTCACTGGGGGGGCTAGCGTTAATTCAGCCCCCCCACCTAATAGGCCACATAGTCTCTCCACTGTAGTGGAGCAAAAATCGAAATTAGTGGAGCAAAATTATGGGATAATTTTCATCTAGAAATTTTCATTGGGGGGGGGGGGGGGGGAGGGCTAACTTAACTGACCCGGATACTTAGGATTTCTAATTTAGGTCCTTCACTCTAAAACCGAATACCAACCAGTGTCTCTAAGCCAGAATAAAATTGGTTCTATATAGACACCAAAACACAAAGAGTAGATCAATAATAGGTGCAGTGCAGGAATGAAAATAATTGACCCTAAAGGCGGTTATACACGGACGTGGATATCTGAGAACATATACGTACATACATGAACGCGCATACAAAAACATTGTGTATGCAAAATACCGTAGCGTTTTTAAATGTGCAAGCGATAGAATGACGTTTAGGTGAATTCTGAAATCGCTAGAAATTTTGTATGCACACTTGAAAACACTGTAGTAAGAGTAAGACTGACAGTTTTGATAATTTGTGCGAGCGTCTATGCAAAGGCGACATACACGTTGATGTATGCAAGTATATGTACCAAGCCAACCACGGCCGTGTGTACCCGCCTTAAGACTTATGATGAAACAGTTAAAAGGACCAATTATTGCTTGTGACATTTTTAAAAACTTCCAGAATCTGTTCAGACATTCAACACAAAATCACTTAAGTCGCTGGCAAAGCGCCCAAGTCCATTGTTCCTCAGTGACACATATTGCAAAAACCTGGAAAATGAGATCATAAGTATTCCTCCTGGCAACCAAAAACGCTAAGTATCTCTTTTCAGGAGATCGTTTTATGCGAGGAGGAGCTTGCGATTCCATATAGACGATTTATTGCCGAGCGAACTTCTGGAAAATATGGAAAATAGTAAACCGATCGCGCGGCGGGTTTTATTGATTTGCGATTAAAATTTATGAGATTTCTGCAAAAGTTTTAATCATATTGTAAGCAACTTTTTAAACGTTAAGCCAAAAGGGCCTGAAACTTAATTAAAGTGTCCGAAAAATTCAGCTTATAGAGTGTTTCGGAATAAAGATTAAGGGGGCACGTGACAAGTTCATAATTTTTAACTCCCAGACACTGGATCGCATGTTTTAATATTGTAGGAAAAAAAATTCCCAGTTTTGAGACAAAAAAGTAATCGAACTTTATAAAAATGCAGACTTTGAAAATCAGCGAACAAAAGCGACAAAGAGGGTTGAATATTGGAAATGATTACTTTTACCAGAGATTTTTTTGTTTTCAACTTGATGCTCATTTCATTTGAAATGGAATGGTTAAAATTGGCGCTTCGAATGGAAATGTATTCGACTGGAAAATTTCCATGGAAATGTTAAAAGTAATCATAAATATCGAACGAATTCTCTGTATATGTATATAACAGAACATTGAGACTTCATTCTAAAATCTTTGATGTTATGTCTTTAGTTTTTAGTCTGTAAAATTATTGGAATTTTGAAATTCAAAACAGGAACCTCTTTCAGATGATTTGGGTCCTAAATCTGGACAATCTTTAGTTTTAATAAATCATAGGCCTTAACCTTGTCAAAAATCTTTATGATTTCCAAAGTCTTGGAGTTTTCAAAGGATTTAGGTCAACAGACTTTAAAATTATGAACGGCTACAGAATCTTCAAAGGCTTGAAATTAGAATCCGTTCAATTTTCAAAACTTTTGAAGCCAGAAACCAATAAAGTTGATATTGTCCATGCTACTTGTGTAGTCCAATATTGGATAAAAGTGAATTATTAATTAAAAAATTTAGGCTCTTAGAACCCCTATAAATCATCTATAAAGGTATACTGGCGGGTCAACTTGTTGTCACTCCGTAACTAATCTCTTGACCTAGAAGGTTCGCCCCAAACCATAATTCACCTGTAAAGGGGGTCCTGAACAGAATATTCAATTGCAATTTTGGTGGTCCCTTAAGGGCCGTACAGCGTATCGGGTTTATCGACTGCCTTTATTTATTGTTTAAGGGTAGATATTTTGCCCTGATGTAATACGAACAAAAATTATTCATAAAACTGTAACAAATCACAATAAAAGAACTTAAGTCACGTTTACAATAATCTTGCACTTTTATGTACATATTCCTATTTAATTTTATTTTGTTATTCGTCACGATTCCTTCAGTTGGGGTGCCGAAAAGCTAAGCTCAGCACTTTCTACTTTCCAGAATTACTTCGTTAATTACCTGCGATCAACATGAATTAAATTCAAGGGAGGTTTTGCAGTTGGCCTAGCACTTAATGGATCGTTTTAAATTAACAGATTATAATAATTTAAATGCAAATATCCCAGACACTAGGTACATATACAAAGACATTATTTTCCCCCCCAACGTTTTGGCAAGGGTTGATTTGAGAGGGCTGAAACAGCGCAATCCATCTGACAGAGAAACGGTCTCGTGATTTCCTTCCATAAATTAATGTTTGGTAAAGGGGTGGCATAAAGGGAAGAAGTTTCCACATGTGTGTGTGGTTTCACACCTTTTGAAGCTTTTTCAGATTAAAATGGAAAACTTCGAGGGCGGATAATCGATACCAACTTTTAATGACAAAGGAATCAATAAATAATTTTTGCTTTTTCATCACTATATCGACATCAAAATGCAAGGGGCAAACCACCTAGGAATTCTTTGCCAAAAATGTGGGGAATTAAGAGGAATTTGTGAGGAATTTGAGGGGAATTTGAAGGAACTCATCGGAATTTATGAGAATTTGGGGAATTTATAGGGAATTCAGAGAAATTACTAGGGAATTTGGAGGAATTTGTGAGGAATTTATCAGGAATTTAAAGGAAATTGTAGAGTCATGACGTCACTGAGGTTCACATTCTTATTATAAGAAACACTAATAAATGGCAATTTTAATTAGTTTTGTGTTGAACGTTGGACATTCATTTTCATTAAAGAAATTCTCCCAAAATTACACTTCATACAAATTTAAAAAATTCAAAACAATAATGAGTACAGTTTTTGTAGGCTAATTTCCAAGATTCTTGATGTTGTAATTTTCCACTGGAAAAATTTTAAATCCAGGAAAACTTTGAAATGTGTAAGACGATATTTTCAACTAATTCAGTTTTTGTAAGTTGATTTCCAAGATTCTTCATGTTGTTATTTTCCACTGGAAAAATTTGAAATTTTGGGAAAATGAGCTTCTCCCTTTTCTCTTTACATGCGAAAAATTCCAAAATTTTCCCTTTACTAGTTTTCCAGGAAAACTTTGAATTGTTTAAAGCTGTATTAACAATTATTTTAGTTTTTGTAAGTTGATTTCCAAGATTCTCCATGTTGTTATTTTTTGCTGAAAAAATTTGAAATTATGGAAAAATGAGCCTCTAACCTTCCTCTTTACATGCAAAAATTTTTAAAATTTTTCCGTTCACTAACTTTCTAGAAAAACTTTGAAATGTGAGAGATAGTATTTTCAACTAATTCAGTTTTTGTAGGTTGATTTCCAAGATTCTTCATGTTGTTATTTTCACTGGAAAAATTTGAAATTTTGGGAAACTGAACAAATCCCCCCGTTCTCTTTATATGCAGAAAGTTTCAAAATTTTCCCTTCACTACTTTTCTAAGAAAAATTTGAATTGTGTAAGACAGTATTTTTAATTAATTTAGTTATTGTAGGTTGATTTCCAAAAATCTTCATGCTGTTATTTTCCACTGAAAAAATTTAAAATTTTGGGAAAATGAGCTTCTCAACTTCCTCTTTACATGCAAAAAGTTTCAAAATTTTCCCTCCACTAGTTTTTCACAACTTTTAAATGTGTGAGACTGTATTTTTAACTAATTCAGTTTTTGTAAGTTGATTTCTAAGATTCTTCATGTTGCTGTTTTCCACTAGAAAAAATTTTACATTTTTCTTGAAAATGAGCTTCTCACCTTCTTCTTTACATGCAAAAAATTTTAAAATTTTCTCTAATTAGTTTTCCAGGTAAACTTTGAATTGTGTGAGACTGGTATTATCAATTATTTCAATTTTTGTGAGTTGATTTCTATGATTTTTCATCTTGTTATTTTCCACTGGAAAAAATTGAAATTATGGGAAAATGAGCCTCTAACCTTCCTCTTCACATGCAAAAAGTTTCAAAATCTTTCCGTTCACTAATTTTTGA